ATAATACAATTAGTAAATTTCGAGCTGAACAGCACTTCAGCCTGCAACTTACTATCTATGAAGTGTTAAATTGAAAAACCACGAACTACAGCCAAGGGAGGACTGGGGAAGGACTCTTGCGCGAGAAAGATGGACAAAAATGAAGGCAAGCCAGCGATGTCATCGCTATTATAAAGACACAAGTTGTTCTCGATTTTTCAAAAATTATTATATGTGATACACGGTGAATTTTGGACAACTATCATTATGATATGCATCACAAACAGGGTCACTTGAAAGTCTTGCATACGACCGCTGAATACAAATTTTCTTCCTGTTGAGTGTCTCGAAAGACCTTCCCCCCCCCCTCACCTCCCCTCCCAGCATCTATCTCTTCTTGTCGCTGTGCATAAATGGCCCACCAAGCATAATAAATATCATTTTCGTAATTAGCATCTCAAACCCTTGTGGACCATGTTACAAATAGGGGGACCTAGATGAGACGGTCACAGACATGATCAACTTTCTTGTGAAGGTGAATTAGTTAGTGAGTTAGTTAGTTTCAATACTCGAAGCTATTGTTTTCCAATGCAGTGGGGGTGCCTAGCCCTGACTTGCATAAAGTTTTTCAGTGGAAATGTCAAGCTCCCATCTTCTTCACCATCTCTCTGCACCAAGGCGCTCTGCCTTAGACCAGGAAAACTGTAGCAAAAATTTTTGGTCAGCATAGTCTGAACAAAACGTATTCTTCAAGGCATGTCGACAAATCATTCATACAAAGCAAAAACATTACAGGACCCAGGCAAATTTTCTGGGGCTCACCGTTATTTGTTGTGTATCATAAAAAAGAAAAATTCATTGATTTGCCCTTTTGCATGCGGTTGAGTAGCATGATTTTACAAACCTATCAGGCAGCACTGAATGTCGTACGTTCTTAGTTTTGTAAAGAGTAAGGCCAAAATCCCAGAATCAAAAACTTCTTTATAATCCAGGTAGCAAACTGTAACAAAGCTATTATTAACCGCTTTTTGCCACTTAGGTAAGTAAACACAAGAGCTGATAGTGTAGATTTTTTGGGCAGAGCCGTGCTGCGCATCATGGATCAGTGGTTCCATTCAAAGTATTAGGTTGTCCAAAAATTGATGTCCGTTTTGGTTTTCAATCGCAATAATTCATAAATTTTTCATTCCTGAATAGCTTTCAAAGCACCATTTGATAGAGCAAAGCAAGCTCTACAAGATGCCTTTCTTGATTTAGCAACAGCTCTAATCCTGCTTGAGTTTCGAGCCAAAAACTAAAAAGATTCAACTGCCTTAGAAATCGAGAAAAATCGTAGCTCAGTTCATAGGAATCCTACAAAAATTCTAACTTGCTCACGTAAACGCTATCCATATAAGACATCTATGTACGCCGATGCCGTATTTTTTCCTTTGTTAGAAATCAAGAAAACCGAAATTTTCATGCTTTTGTCAAAGTGAGCTGTGCCGTCCCCACATAAGTGGTTGTATACTACACAAACCTGTAGAAGTACAAACGTAAATTTCCAGCTTTATACAAGCTTCAGTCTCAAGAAATCTGAATTTCAGCTTAATTTTCGCTGGACCACATGACCAGGGAAAACTGTATTCGACATTTCGCGAGAACTGAAGCCTGCAGAGAGCTAAAAATTTACGTTAATTTTAATTTACAACACACAACACATGAACCACAACACACAGCACGCAATCCAACACACAACACACTACACACAACACACAACACACAACACACAACCAGAGGTGCGATAGTCGGAGCCGATTCTCCGCCTACCTTCACTTTTGAGCTGGTACGGGGTGACCACCTTCACTTTTCGGTTTGAAAAATTTTTTTTGCTGAAGCTCAAAAGAAGGAAAATAAGCAAAAGGGATGTAAAAGAAAGTATTAAGAGCATATATCTATGTAGTAGGTCGATCCAGGCAGTAACCGCCGAGAACCAGAATTTCGAATGATAAAATAATGAAAAATCGTGAAAAATCATTCCACTGTTACAAATCAGCTGGCTGAAGACCTCCGCAGTTGCGACTTCATAGGTTTTGAAGGGTAAGTGTTGTTCTATCAGACAGCGAAAGAATCAGTTTGATTTGAGGAGTGGCCGCCGAGAACGAGAATTCTGAAAACCCTTAAAAATCTCCTCAATTTTAGGTTGTTCAATGACAACTGACATTTAAACTCTTATAAATCCTGACTTTGAAGGTGTGTGATGTTGCGACTTCATAGGTTTTGTAAAGTGAGGTTTGCCTTATTAGAACATATTCTAGCTGTACCGATCCATTGAAACGTCGCCGAGATCCAGGCTCCTAAAGAAGCGGGTAAAAAACCGTTTTTCAGCTCATAACTTCTTCAGAATTGCATGAATCATGTTGCGACTTCATAGGTTGGATTCTCCTCATTAAGAGCTTTCAGATGATATATAATATGTGGGGGGTTCACGCCTTCCACGGCATATGCCCGGGGGTGGAGTACTCCTCTTCACTAATTCTCCACCCCGCCCATTTCAATGTATTGGCGGGAGGCCGCCAGTGCACATTGCATATTTTCACATTCCAGATTTATAGGAGTTTAAACGTCAGCTGTCACTAAGCAACCTAAAATCGCTTAATTTTTTAAAATTCTCGCTCTCGGCGAGTACTGCTCAAATCGATCTAATTCTTTCACTGACTGGTAGAACAACACTAGCCCTTCAAAACCTATGAAGTAGCAATTGCTGACATCTTCGACCACCAGATTTATAACAGTGGAAATTTCGCATGATTTTTCGCTATTTTATTATTTGAAATTCTGGTTCTCGGTGGCTACTGCCTGGATCGACCTACTTTATTCGCAGTACGTTATAACAAAATCTACTTAATGAAATACGTAAAGTCTAACTGGGATTTACTTACAAATAGACCATTTGAATAACATATTTATTTCTTTTTATTTTATTTTTATGCCGCTATACTCATCGTATTTGTGGCCCTAAAGAGGGCCGTTAGGTTCACACTTGTTGGCCCTCAAGGAGACCGTTGGGTCAGAGTTCTTCAATTATCCGAAGTCCCCCCCCCCCCCGGTCGACGTTTTTGAGAGGTGAGTGTCCGGCACTACCACCTTCACTTTTGGCCGGCCAGTGGTAGCTGGAACCACCTTCACTTTTGAGGGGCCCGGCTCCACCTATCGCACCTCTGCACACAACACAACATATAACACACAACATACAACACACTATACACTACTCACAACACACTACACACAACACAAAACACACAAAACACAACATACAACAAACAATAAACAACAACACACAACAAACAACACACAACACACAACACACAACACACAACACACAACACACAATACACAACACACAACCTAACACACAACACACAACAAACAACACACAACACACAACACACAACACAACACACAATACACAACACACAACACAACACACAATACACAACACACAACACACAACACACTACACACAACACACAACACCCAACCCACAACACACAGCACACAATACACAACATACAACACTAACACACAACACACACATACATAACACACAACACACACCCCAAACACACGCACACATACAACACACACAACACACACACCACATACACACGCACACATACAACAAAGTTTTTATGCTCCAATTGCGATCACTTCTATGATGACCCAATCGTTCTGTTCTAGAAATTTCCAGCTTTGTAAGGTCCATCATTTCACAACAAATATCAGTCCAGCATATTTCTTCGTATGATAGACTTTTTGGTTTATCGCACTTCACGCCAATATTTTCTTCCTTTCAGAAGAAAATTTGGTACAACTAAGCACCTCCACGCTTCCCCCCCCCCCCTCACCCCCAAGGAAGCCTAGGTTAGTCTTTTTATGTTTTTTCCTTTTATGTTTGCTTTCCATACGGCCTTCCCACACTACTAATGAGATCCAGGGAAGGCCGTACTGCTTTTATTCTGATTTCCGTCTAGTGTTTAGGGTCGAAACGGAAATTAGATAGTTTTTAATTTTTGTATTTCTGTTTTTTTCGTTGTATATTACTAGTGCTAAATTTTGAATGGATATCAGAGAAAAACCCTAGTCCATTCAAGATTTGGTACCTATTGTTAGGGTTTAGTCTTATCACACACTTTACACGAATAAGAGGCGATCGCCTCATAGCCAAACTTGGCTTTCCTTACGAGCAACTGCTCGTTCCCGTCGCATAGACGGATGAATTGTTTGTACTCTTAACCTTTACTTTCTTACTTTCTTACCTTCTCGTATTCTGTTTCATTAGAATTTCAAATCAATACTCATATCCAAACTTTGAAACACAATCAAAGAACAAACTTTTATTTTCCATTAACTTGAAAACAACCAAGTAATCATAAGATCGAAAATCGAAAGAAAACTCAAAATTTTCTGAAGACCAAAATCTAGTCATAATAGGAAGTTTGAACTTCACAGTTTTTTTGACTTGATTGGTAGGATCGGAATTTTCTTCAGTTCTTGGTCGCTTTCTCTCAGGACCCTGTAAGTAACTCGAAGGAATCTCTCGATAAACCTTAATATCATATTATACTATTTCTTACCTCTTCTATCTCTTCACTGGAGACAAGTGGCTTCGTAAGATTTACTCCAGTTAAACGAAGCCCACCTTTTTCTATTTCTCCCTTCTAAAATATTTCATCCTAATTTTACATTATAAAGTATAACCAACCTACCGCTATTGCTTCTTTTTCGGCTGCTATGAACATCTCCTCTAGTGGAAGTCCATGCCAATCTCGTAGACTGATATTGAAACGATACGCAGTCATTGCTGGTGTGTTTATTTTGCAAAAACTTATACTCTTTCCCTATGTGTAGTACACCTTTTTTCAATACAACGTCGGGACATTTTCTTCTACACGCCGAGTGTACGTCTCGGATAAACTTACGTATATACGACCTATAATAAACGATATAATTCTAACCTGCAATCTAAAACAACACTCACCCTAATCTTCGTCCGAAACTTTCATAGTCTGTTCCTTGATTATTTTGATATCCTTCTTATTTGTTGCGTTGTAAGTCGACAGATGATTTCTTCCCTCACTTAGAAAATATCTCCAGCAGTCGTAGCTTATCCTTGCCTGAATGAAGTGATTTTCCAATTAAACTATATCTCAAAACTTACTCTTATGGCAGAGATACCCTTGAAGACGCCGGCACCTGTTGGCCACGAAAAAGGAAGCGGCTTATCAGAAGGATATCTAAAAAGTACTTCAATTATACACAGACAATCATTAATAATCTAACTTACTTTAAAATATTGTGTGCGAAGTCCGCTAGCACGCGATTATACGTTTTCTTGTGGGGGTTTTCCAACCCCACGATTCTTACCCAGTCGAGGAGAACACGCTTGTTAATGTTCTCCTGGAATGCCTCTTGACGAGGATTCATTATCTGAATCTGAAAAACATGATATAATATAGCAAAATAATACAAAAGCTTCATATCTTCTTGAAAGTTTTGAAAGAAGGATTAGTACAATGTGGGACTTAACAATAATCCATGTTATACCTTCATCAATTTCTAGCCCAAAAATAGAAAACATTTGATACTCAGCTAAGTCGTTCACTTTAGGACCTCCTGACTTTATAATTGATCCATAAAAAACATTGCTCTTTGTTTATATATAAAACACACACACAAAATCTATTCAATAAACATAAAACAAAATAAAACTCCATTTCGGATATACTTGGCAGCACTTTACACTCATACAATACTTCGGTCACTTACGATAAGGAAGTTCATGAGAAATATGCATCCCTTTACATACAACACGATTGAAAAGGCAATTTTGTCACAATCCTCCTGTAAATAAATAGTGCCTGCAGTGATTAGAAACAGATGAAGCCAAAAATCAGCATACCTTTTCAGAATCAAAAGACATCACAAAGACATATACCACTTTGTACCTAAAAAATAAAACAAAAGACGGCAAGATTCTCGGTCTCACAACTCAAACATCAAAATATTAGATACAGATATAAATAATATGTTGCTCACCTCGATAGAGCATATATCGACCAATGCAGTACTGTTCCGTAACGTATACACACAAATTAGACAACTCCTCAAAAATTGTAAACATCCCATTGGTAAAATTGATGTCATACTTCTTCAGGGCATGGAGAAAAGCTGGATCCGCATTATACTGAAACATAAATGGTTATGAAACCTGCCACATTGAAATAAATTAGGTAGTTTAGTTTAAAACACTATGCCAAGTGATTTCGTAATGCATTATAAAATATAAACAAGTTCCGTAATTGCACATGTATAACCATACGACAGTCAACTACTTACGATTGGACGTAAACAAGTAAAACAAACTTTTTGTAAGTAGTAAGCATAAACTAAACATCAATTGAGATAGTTCAGGAGTAATAAAAGGAAAAACATTACAACAATATAAAACACACAAGTTTGAAAAGTGCCAATACCTCTTGTGCATTAGCCGTGCATAGTGGGATTTTGTCCATTTCGATACTACTCGAAGATACAGTAAGAAATATCGAAAGAACGACTTCTAAACCTACATTATTAGTATAGAACCAATATAAACTTATACAAGCTTTGTAATATACCTTGATAGAACAACATAACATCCCGACTACTTTTGCCAACTACTTCTGACGCAACTCTTGACGACAAAACATGTATTAGGTTGTCCCAAAAGTTCTTGCGCCGGATTTTCAAAAAATCATATCTTCCTTGCCACTCGATGGATTTTCTTGATTTTAATTTCATCTGAAAGAGGAAACCATTCTTTTTACGATAGTACCTTTGCTGTGAAGCGGCGTCAGAAAGTTCCAAAGCTAGAAGCAATTGAATAAAATCAGTCAAGATCGCCATTTTTCAAGCTGGATCACAAAAAATTCTGAAAGTATGTTTATTTGATAGAGAAAATTTTGCACATTACAGTGGTGCCGTTTTCATGAATCAAAACCAAGTAGATCGAGAGTTATAAGCAAATAAAGAGAATTTCTTCAGTTTTGCAATTTTTGAGCATGCTCAAAAAAGTTTGAAAGCGTCACAAAAAAAGCGAAAAAGTCATAAACATGGGTTTTGCGATTTTCCCGTTTTAGCTGAGTGAGTTTCGAGCTGATCCAGAGCAATTTTGATTTTCGTGAAAAACGCAGACCCGAAAATCCGAAAAAATCACGAAAATCAAAATTGCTTCCGATTAGCACGATTTTTGCTCAGCTAGAAAGGGAAGGTCACACAACCCATGTTTGTGACTTTTTCGCCTTTTCTGTGCCGTCTGTAAGCTTTTTTGAGCATGATCAAAAATTGCAAAACTGAAGAAATTCTCTTTGTTTGCTTCTAACTCTCGACCTACTTCGCTTCAATTCATGAAAAAGGTACCACTGTAATGTGCAGAATTTTCTCTATCAAATAAAAATAGTTCCAGAATTTTTCGTGATCCAGCTTGAAAAATGCCAATCTTGACTGATTTCGTTCAATTGCCTCTATCTCTGGAACTTTCTAATACCAAGTCATGGCAAAGGAACTGCTGTAATGAGAAAGGTTTCCTCTTTCAAATGAAATTGAATTCTATAAAGTCCATTGAGTGGCAGGGAAGTTATGATTTTTTGAAAATCCGGCGCAAGAACTTTTGGGACAACCTAATAGATTCCGGCCATCTAATATACCAGAACAAGCCATCACATCTACTCAGACAATCGCTGGGGGCAGGCGGGCACCGGAAAAATAGATTGCTGATTTCTCGCACCCCGCTCGCGGATTTTTTGCAAAGCAGTCAGGACTTTTCGGAAGACCGCTTGCTGAGTCAGCGGATTTTTGAGAGACCGCCTGTTGAGTTTTTTTCGCTCTTATCTTTTGCAGATATATTGCTGAATCTCTGAGGAATCGAGAACTCAGCAAGCGGTCTTCCGAAAAGTCCTGACTGCTTTCCAAAAAATCCGCGGGCGGGGTGCGAAAGATCAGCAATCTATTTTTCCGGTGCCCGCCTGCCCCCGGCGATTGTCTGTGTAACTGGCTTACATACTGAAACAAAAAGCAGATTTTACCACTTCCAACCAACCATCACTTTGAAAAACTGAACGTATCAAAAACCGATTACGAAATACCAAACGAGACAACACGGATTCTGCAATTACACAATAAACCCGAGAATACGACAAGAGTGAAAACATGCGATATACACCTTCCGCAATAAACTATGGAAAGTTATGTAAGTCCACAATACAGAAGTGTCAAAAGCACCCCCCCCCCGCCCCTCAAGAATTTTACTGAATAAATACTACAAATTTACACACCAGACTTTAGTCATCAAACATATCACACTTATTCAACTAACTCCACACCCAACGCAGATTACACATTCAATGCAGTATACAATTAAACCACAATCAAAAACTGGCAGACATATACGTACACATGCATACACGTACACATATATTTACACTTAAACTTACACATAAAAGATCAGACTCATACACAAAATCACATACACAACTCATTAAATCTCATACATAAATTTAGAAAGCACAAATTTACATCTTCATGCAAAATACACATATACACATAAACTCAACACATCGAACGTATACATACATACATAAATATACACATGCACTGTACATGTAACAAATATATCACGAACACACACATACCATGCACATTCTCATACAAATGAATACACATACGTACACAGAAATAAACACACATATTTACATACAGTTACACACATACGTATATACATTCACTCATAAGCGTACATTTACAATACATACATACACACAGACTTGTACATTTATACATATATATACCAGTGGCGTACCGAGGGGGGGGGGGCGCGCCCCCCCCCCGAGAATGGGTCGCGAAATTTTTGAAAGTTACTTATATGGGTTATAAAAATGTGTAAGTGACTTGTTTATTTTTGTAAATAATTAAAATAATTTTTAAAAATTTTTAAAAATTCAAATTAGCCTTGTAAAAAAATTTTTTTCGGAGGCGTGGCTGACGCCACGCCCCCTTTTTCCAAATTTTAGGGGTCGGGGACCCGAAAAAACTTTGGGAAGCACCCCCAAAAATTTTTCAGAGTGCGTGGCTAACGCCACGCACCTTCTTTAGAAAAAATTTTTTGTCGCGTTCCCCCCGAGCCGAAATCCTGGGTACGCCACTGATATATACATAAAAATATGTACGTATACGTACACATACACAAAAAACCTACACACATACGCATAAACATACACATAACATACACATACACATATACATGCATATACACATGATACACATAGGCATGCACACATACAAAAACACGTCACGATACACATATACATACGGATACACATACACATACACACATACACGTGCACATACGCAAACATAAATGTACTTACACATACACTCACATACTCAAACACATTAACTTACAAACATAAAATATGCATGCACGCATACATACGCATACACATCACACATATGCATATACATATACACATACACATACACACATATGTATACATACACATACACATATACTCAAACACATAAACGCACATAAAACATACACGTACAATACATAAACGCACAAAAAACAAAAATGCTCGGAATAACTGCTTGTACACGTACACATACATATATCATTTACATACAAACACATAGGCAAATACACATACACATAATATACTATTTATTTACACATATACACATACATATACACGCACACATGCTACCATATCAATATACATAATAATAGACATAACAACAAATGATACAACCAAAACATACTGACCTCTCACATTCCAAACAGGGCCCGGCACGAGGTTGTCAAAAGGGGTTTTTGAAAACGAATTCCCCTTTGACCTCAAAATTTTTTTACGAATACCCCTTTGACCCAAAAATTGGTTCCAGTGATTGCGCAGTGAACACTTTACCCATAGAACAAGTTCCATTGAAGAAAAAACAAAATTCATTTATGACAGTACCCAAAAACAAATGAGATCATACTAAAGATCTCTGCAACGAAGTCGAAAAAATTGCACCGTATTAGAAGTACTAGAATTTATGACCAGCTACCTCGTGAAAAAAGAAACCAAATTGAATATTAGATTTGCGGCGAATTGAGGATGGCTCAGTCATTCAAAATGATTGAAGAAATCTCACTCAGTACTGCAATAGGTCAAAAACCATAAATCGTCGATCATGGAGCTTAAACTCTTTGGAGCTTTTGGCTTCTCGAAAGCTGTTTACTTTACTTCTACTTCAATAATGTGTTTTAGATTTGGTATCTTTGCGACGTTCACACTCATGCCGAATGTGCAATTCAAATTCTTAATCCAATTTTCAAAGTGCGTATAATAGCACATCGAGCTCTTACAGATGCAACAAAGAAATGACTTTTGTGTATTTGCTGACACTTTCGTTCTTTATTATAATTCATGTTTGGAGAAACTAGCAATAGAAAACCAAAATGAGGTGACCTAAAGTAATACAATAACGAAAACAGCGATAAGAAGAGCAAATCACAGAAGTTTTCATCGTTCAAAGCTAAAGAAGGACAATCACCGTAGTACTCGAACGTCAACTCAAACTCTCAATATCAAGCCGCGCGGAACGTGAAGCCCGATTCGGGTGCATCAGCATGAGATCTCGCATCAGGTAATGAAAACAACGCCAATACTCCCAAAGGTCTGCTCTTCTTTACGTCTGCTGGATGTGGCAACACCGAGAATTGCAAAGTGCTAATCTCAGATGGGACTAGCCTGAACGCAGATACTTCGGGATAAAAGATGCTTAGTTCCTTGCCAGACTTTGCTCAAAAGCGCCTAAGTCTCTTCACTTTCTCGTGTGTGGAGAGATGAGAGAAGTTAGAGAAATTTGGGCGCTTTTGGGTGCTTATGAACGCTTTTGGGCGCTTTTAAGCGAAGTCTGGCCGGAGCCTGAATGATACTTACGGTAACAAGGAAGAACAGTCAAATATAATCGAAAGTGGAGCGCCTTTGCTCGATGAAGCAACGATAACAGGTGTACTTCACACCTAACATAAAAGTTTAAAAGGTACTCCTGGACTGAAAAAATCAACAGAAGAAAACTAACCTTGATTCCACAAATCATAAGTTAAGTAAAACCCATCAGGCTTCACACTGTCGAACAAGAACAGAACAACCACAACTGAAAGAAAAAGGTGCTATCGCTGCTAACTCAAATAGACAAACCATGAGAAAAAAAGGATAAAAAGCCAAAGTGCAGAAGTACTTGCACTTTAGGCAGAAATTTAAAACTCACCGGAAAGATAAAACAGGCAAACGTTCGCCTTCTTTGTGATCGGGAACATAGGCTCCAAACTTTTCAGAGTTCAGAACACCACTGAAAAACCACTCAGTATATCCCAATACACAAGTCTGTATGAAAACGAACCTATGGTGTTTGTACACATACTAAAGACCTTGAAAACCGCACAGATGGCACTACTTCGGCAACCATCTGGAAATGCGCTGCCATGAATAGCGATGGTAACATGATTACGGATTCAAAAGAAACAGCTTTTCTAAACACGTTTGTTAGACAGTATTTCAAGAAAAAATGCTTTGGATACGCGAAACTCAATTAAGATCGATTGATGCTATACAAGGTGCTCCAGACGCATACAGCGTTCCATTTCCTTATCAATCGACCATGTCTTCTAGCTTTTTTTGACCAGATGCCCCCAAAATGCTGTTTTGCAAACTTGATTTCTCCCTCATTTTCACTTTTGCATGCCTAGTACAAAAATCAAATTGCAATCGCTGTAAGGCCCCGGACAGACTTCACGTGATTTGATCGTCGCGACGAGACAACTGTTACAACATCATTCCATGCCGATCAACTTGCATTCGGTTGTGATACTTTTCCAGCCCGAAATTTTTGAATGTGAAATGAAAATGAATGGAAATCTTGGTGCTATACAAGGTGGCGATTAGGCGATTGAATCGCGACGATTAAGTCGCGTGAAGTCTGTCCGGGGCCTAAGGGAAATAAGGAATTGACCAATTCTTTCCTAGCCCTGTGCCCCATCGCTAACTTCTCGAAGTGCAAGCACCCATCAGAAACCCAAGCGAATGTGAAGCGTACAAAAGGCTTATTCTTTGACAGAATAAAATGGAAATTTCTAATAAATTAAGAACAAAACAAATGGATGAATTAAAATGAACAACGCAAACATAAGAAAGAACTAGTACCTTTCGACTCATCCAATTTCGATTAGGTGGCGGCGGATGAAGCAGACAGTGACGTTACTCCCAGAACAGAACGGTTTGAGGGTAATTTGCAAAAAGAACTAAAATATGCAGTAGAAGGTAAAGGGTGCTGCGCATGCTGCCTTCGCTAAAAGACAGAGAAGTAGTATGCACATTCTAGATCCCACTGAGAAGAGACACTAATTCTAGCAAATCGATCAAGAACACCTAAATAAGGCAAACGAGGTAAAAAAATAGAAGGAATACACGACAATATGAGCCCGTAACGCTGACGACCATAAATGCTGTGACAGTGATAATGAAAATAGGACAGGCACAGATTAGAACAACGTAAGTAAGATGACCGCTTACTACAGACTGAGAGTTTGAAAATGCTGGAAAGGTAATGGAAATTCTGATCATCCGAATAAAAATCTTCTCTAATTTTTGAGAAAATAGAGCTGTTGCAAGAATTGCCTGCCCTTGAGAATCAGCAACAAAGCAGCCTTTAGCAGAATCAGCCACAACAGCCTTTAGTACACCCTCAACAATGACAAAAACTAGTAATACGCCGATGAATACAGCGAAAGCAAAGGAGGAAGGTGAAAAGGTGGAAACAGCGTAAAAAGAACTAGTAAGTGATGAAACATAGACGTCGTTAAAGGACCCAGCGATACGCCGTTCGATTGGAGCGCGCTTTCCTCCTTAGGAAACGGGGCTGTAGAGGCTATTTTTGCCTCTAGCAATGAGGAGAGGAGGAGGTTTGAAACCAAATTCTCAGTATATACTAATCTTTAGGCGTAGAGTAAATTTATGTAAAAATTTTGAAAAAATTCTGTGAAATGAGAGTTTTGCCAAGCTCAGCTTGTCATTAGCTTGTCAAATGACAAGCTAATTTGGAAATAAGTTGGGGAAACTCTTCATTCACATAAGTTTTTCATAATTTTTCATACTTTGTTACTTAGTCCTACTGCGCATATACACACCGAATCCCGCGCGATTTTGTCGCCTCTGCGTTGCAAACGAGCCATTTTTCCATTTCTTTGGTAGCGGGAAATTTTCAGAAAAAACTTTGCCACAACCTTCAGTCGCATAATTTTTCAATGAAACTCCTAAGTTAGCTTCTACAGGCTTGTGTCCACGTGCCTACCAAGTTTCATACCATATCGTCATCTGCGCGTTGCGAACGAGCCATTTGAATTTACAACTTCATTTACCAATTTTGCAAAATCTTTGGAAAAAATGCTTATTACTCGTCCCGTTCACATAAGTTTTTCATAAATTTTCATACTTTGTTTCCACTAGCCTCTCTCCGTTCGCCTATAAAATCTGGTGTCATACCGTGACGCGTACATTGACAACTAGTCATGTATGCCGTTACAAATAGCTCGTTTGAGCGACGTCGCGCGTGCGGCAATTAGCGACGGCGCGGTTTGACGCGCGCGAACTCCAGTCTTCGCATGTTGAGGCACATAACATGTTATTAAGCAGAGAACGTGCACTACCAATTTTTTTTCCGGGGCTCCGCCCCGGACCCCGCAAAAACGATTTCCCCTTTGCTTTTTTTGCCGAAAACGATTTCCAGCGTGTCATTTGACAAGCTCGTGCCGGGCCCTGATTCCAAATCCCTGCTCACTCTGGGAGCTGCGACTGCAGCACTTTATTACACCAAATTCTTTCTCTTTCTCTTTCATTCTTTTCTTATTTACTTTAACCATTTCTCCCTAACATCCTTCGCCGTAATCCTCACACATTCTTAGATAAGAGGGCCTGCCCTCTTTCAAAAAAGAGGGACTCTCTTGATGGGGTTATACCAGTGGTAAGCCGGCAAGGAATAGTAGCTTCCACGCCTCCAAAAGAGTCAGTTCTACGCTTTCACTCACTCCTTTACCTTTATCCATAGAATTAAGGGTGTGCCAAGCCCAGGTAGCAGCCCTACCGAAATCACTGTTCCTCTGCCTATGAAATGGACCTTCCATTACGCTTAGATTATAGGTCACCAAAAAATGTCCAATTTGCATTCGGGGTTGTTAGCAGTAGTAATTATTATAAAACCACAAGTTTCATTAAATGCAGGGATACGCACACCAAACAATTCTACATTAAAAACTTTGGTAACACAAAACTTTCATTCTTGCAGTAACAACTGCAAATATTGTAATCTTATCAGGAATGATAATGAAATAACATCCTCGACTACATCATTAAGAGTCACTACTTATCTTGGTGAACATACATCATGTAACACCAAAAATGTTGTATACTGTATCACCTGTCAAGAATGCAAAAAAACAGTACGTAGGAATTACAACCAGAAAAATAAAAGAAAGGATAAGAGAAAATATCTATCATATTGATAAAAATGACATCAACAACTACCTTTATGCACATTTCAGTAATCGTTGTAAAAATCATCAAGTCAGCTTCACAATTTTAGATAGTTTACCTGAAAACATAGATAAAGCCATTCTTCTAGAAAAAGAATTATTTTGGATAAAACTTTTGATGACTCCACACCCTTTTGGATCAAACGATAATATAAAAGGTTATGGAAATATATCAAACTTAGCAAACCCCTTGAACTATAAACCCAATCATCCTTATTACAGTCTCACAATTATGAAGGAAAGAGTTAAAAGTAAAAAATCAATTACGTCCAATACAGATAAACAACATCACAGTAAAAATAGAAAAGCAAAAGCTAATCTAGACACTATAATAGAAAATATAAACCACATCAACGGGGAAACAAATCTCTATAGATATGTTCACTCACTCAAACTATCCACTATCAAAAAATTAATACATCTGTGTTATAACACACATACCATTGCCAACATTATAGAAGAAAACCGAATCGCCTTGATTTGTATTTTATGTTACTTTCAATTCAATTCTAAAGAATGTAAGGAAAAGAAATATTTATAGAAAGAGTTCCCTTACAAACTAAATATATACATCCTATTATAGATAATATCAATTTTAACATGACAGTAAATGATAGTGAATTAAAAAACATTATTAGGTCAAATTCAAAAGTTGATTACAAACCATTCAGGGTAATCTTTCAATACGATAAACCCATTTCCAGCAAGCTTTTCAATTACAATAAACTCCTAAGAAACTTAACTACCAAAGATTTGATCGATTGCAATGCCAAAGATTGCATATGCAACCAAAGTGAATATATCAGGTACGTAGATCAACATCACAAACATATAGTAAGTGGAGACCTATCCATTTTGAAAAACTTTTCAATAAGAAATATATTTAACAAAGGTACAAAATTTAGATTAACAAGTAAAATCAATAAAGAAACGTTGATTAAGTGGGTAAAAACTACTACAGATATGTTTGCAAAAACTATTAAAGCTAAATACAAAATCAATTCACAAATTATAAATTTTATAAAATCAGTCATAGAGAAAAAGCTCAAGCAAAAATTAAAACCTGTCATGTATGATAAAAACTATCACGACATTATCCCAAAACCAAATAAACAATTTCTTACAGACTTACAAAACCATTTTATATTTTGCCCTACAGATAAAGCTAGTAATAATTATGGAATCATTTGTAAAAAATATTATTTAACAACCCTCAGCCGTAATATGCGAATAGAGTTAACCAATGGTAAGATCAATATCATCGAAGATGCAAATAAAACATACAGACTAACCATGAATCTGAATGACTCTCAAATATTGAATAGACATAAAAGTTTTTGCGAAACATACAAACTTAAAAGTATATCCCAACCACAGATACCATTAGTTTATAAACTACTAAAATTACACAAAAATCCAATTAAATATAGATACATAACAGGAGCTTATAATAGTAGCACAAAACCTATGGCAATAGAACTAAGTAAAATACTCATTTTCATTGGAAAACACTTTGAATACTACGTTAATTCAATTAAGACACGCAATAAAAATTTCAGTGGCTTCTGGTCTATCAATAATACGGACATAAGTTACACACTCAACAACACCATGTTCCAAAATATGAAATTATTCTCTGCAGATTTTACAGACATGTTCAACAACTTTAAACATAACAATATAATGAACAATCTGATAGAAATATTAAAAATATGTTTCAAGAATTCAAGTAAACA